TTTCTAGTATAGAAAGTCACCACTGAATGCCACCAAGCTCCCTTCTTTCCCGAGTACTACTTACTAATGCCATGTATGTAAAGCAAGTATGAAATGCTGAACTGGACTTTTTTTTTTTCCTAAACAGTTTTCTTTTCTTACTATGCCATTCTGTTTTTATTCTTTAAACATTTTCCAAGGTTTTTGACGGGTCAATTTTTTCAGGTAAGAATAATTTTTAAAATACCTGTTTTGTAATGTTACCTATGTTAAGTAGGGAACACAAACAAGTTAGACATATTATTGCTCTGCAAATAATTTGCAATCTATTAAGAACTTAAGACAAGTATATCTTCAGAACAACACAAAGTTGAATATGATTAATGCTATAGCAGTGATGGATATAACAATATTAAATCTTCTGTTGGGAGGAAGAATAGAACCATTCAATCCCGACTATGTCAGTCTGAAGTAATTTTATATTTTCTGTTGGGATATCAACAAAGGATGTGAACCTCTATAGTTCTTTGGATCATCCGTCCAAAATATGCATTGTATTACTGTACAGTAAGAGATTACTTTATGATTCCACTATATGAGGTATTTAGAATAGTCAAATTCATAGAGATACAAAGTAGAATGGTGGTTGCCAGACGCTAAGGAGAAGAAAGAAGGGGAAGTTACTATTTTCAAGGTATAGAATTTCAGTTTTGCAAGATGAAGTGTTTTGGAGAAGGATGGTAGTGATGGTTGTGACAGCACTAACAATGCATTTAATACCACTAACTGTACACTTAAAAAATGGTTAAGGTTGTATATTTTGCTATGTATATTTTACAATAAAAATTCAGAAAAAAATTATAGGAGTGTATTGTATTCAGTACTAGAGAAACAAGATTAATGAACTCAGTCTAATACAGAAGAAAAAATGTAATCAAATAAAAACAGAGTATACTAGGTTCTGTAGGTGGTCTTTGGAAAGTGCTGGGGTAGTGTGAATGCAAACATAAGGGTATGACGAGCATTGTCCCCTGGGATTGGAAATTCGGGTGCATAGGAAAGGGGGTAGCAGGATCTTCAAAAGCTTCATACAAGAGTTGATATTTGAGCTGCCTTAAAAGGTGAAAAAGAGTTGGAAACATAACAGAGAAGGTGTTCTAAGCAGAGGCACAGAGGTATTAGAGGGATCAAACATCTGTAAATTGAGCAAAGTTGTCTGGCTGAAATATGGGACCAGTGGAGAAGAGTGGTGGGAGATGATGCTAGTGACACATGTGGGTGGAGGCTACACTGTTTACCATGTTTGGATTTCGTTCAAAACCAAAGGCCTTAATCAGAAACGGGCTTCAGGATCACTTGCGAAGGTTTCAAAAATACATACGGCCAGATTTATCACTGAAGATTTATTTTTAAGACATGTTAAGGTTTGGGGCTCCTGGGTGGTTCAGTCAGTTAAGCATCTGATGCTTGGTTTTGACTCAGGTCATGGTTTCAGGGTCATGGGATGGAGCCCTGTGTCGGGTTCTGCATTTAGCAGGGAGTCTACTTGAGATTCTCTTCCCCTCTCTCTTCCCCTCCCCTCTGCTCACACGCTCTCCATCTCTCTCTTTTTCTGTCTCTCCAAAATAAATAAATAAATCTTAAAAAAAAAAAAAGACATGTTAAGTTTCATTAGTTCTGATGGCCGCATGATACAGGATGTGGAGCGGGTGGGACCTAAAGGTAAAAAGGCAAGACAGAAGGTTTGTAAAGCAGATGAAAGCCAATGACAATCCAGGTGAAGACAGTGGCAACGAAGAATAAGAATAGATCTGAGAGGCATTTAGAAAGTCAAAATTACTGGACTTGGTGGTCAATGAGATGTGATGTGTGAAAGAGAGAAATCAAAAACACTGCTTAGATGTCTATATCAGATAACTGGATGAGGGTGGATCCATTAATTGGGATAGTAAATGCTGGCATAAATACAATGTCTGGCAGATTGTCAAAAGAGGGGGTGCTCAATACATGTTTGTGGAGTGAATAAAATCCCCCTAATAATAACGGTCATACAATTGGGGGAGGAAAAAAAGGAGTAATTAAGGATCAGTTTTGTTGGTTTTTGACAGATCTAGATGTGCCAGGGAATGGAGGGGGTAGGCTGTGAAGAAGATATGCAAAGCAGGGGGTGATATCAAAGCAAAACCCCACAAAGTTTAGGAAGTTAAGGCTGGGTTCTAGAAACTGTGAATAGATCAGTTTGCCTCTATGATAGTGAGAAGAGACTGTAAAGGTACAGTGGCTCCACAATGTGGTATGTCTGAAAGTCAGGCTGAAAAAGTTTTAACTAATTCAGTAGGTGATGGTCAGTCATGGCTTTTGGGCGGGGCCTTGCAGTGGTCTTTAGGATTATGTTCATCTGGAAGACTCTTATAGCAGCAGTGGGACAGGATGGTGTGGGACAGGAAGAAATCTAAAGGGAGAAAGATCAGTTAGAAGGCTACTGTGAGGGTAGAAGCAAACCATAATAAGAAGAAGAGCAATGATGGTCACAGTAGGAATGGAGAGGCAGGAGCAGAATCAAAAGATATTCAGAAAAAATTAACACGCAAGATCAAGTTCCAGACTGGGATGGTTGGAGGTTAGAATTGGATTCAGGGCGGACCCTGGGTGACAGAGTGTTGTGGTGTCAATGAGAAGAAATAATGATGTCAGGAAGGTGAGCAATTTTAGGCAGAGATAATTGATTCTGAGTCACCAGCAGGATAGCCAGGTGAAGAAATATTTTGGGCACCTGGAAATGCAACACTGCAGTTTAGAACACAGACTGGAGCCAGAAATGTAAACTTGGGAGCTATCCGGTGTAAATGATAAATGATGTGTGTGAGAGGATAGGATAGCCAAGGAAAGGAAAAATGAGCCCAACAGAAAAAACCACGGGGGTATGCTTACTCTTGGCTGGGGGAGGGAAATCTTGGAAGTAGAAAGAGAAGCAGTCCTAGCGAGAGACGAGACTAATCTGGAAAACACACTTCAAAAAAAAAGGGGGGGGTGGGAAACAGAGCTTCAAAAAAGAAGAGTGGTAACAGTCAAATAGGGAATTTCAGGCAGAGGAAGACTGGTAAGGGCAGGAGGTCTGTTCACAGGCGAGGAAGCATTGGTGGGGATGAAGCCGGGTTGGCTGGGGTGAGCGAGGGAAGATGTGGGGCAGGGCTTGCGGAAGCTGAACTTCTCCACATCATTTCTCATGCTAGAACCAGAAGTATAGAGAGCTTGGTTATTGGTCTTATTGCCATTTGGTTTTAAGGAACTCAATTCTTGGTATTCTCAGTAGTCATATAACATTCATCGAAACAACAGGATGAGAACTATGGGTGCAAACAGCATTTGGGACCCTGAAGTTTGGAAAGTGATTCATGAACACCTCCTGTCCGGAAGCACTGGGTCTCAACGTTTCCTCAGAGGAAAGAATCAAAGTCAAAATGACCATTCTGCATAGCAGTATGTATGCCAGAGCTATGTGTGAAAATTAATTAGATATCACCACATTATTAACTGAACAAACCTTTCTGTCACTAGTTTGAAACGGTACTTTCATCATAAACTAAATCTAGATGGATTTGTGTCTATGTTTGGACTCTTTGTTTCATTCCATTTTGTACCAAACCTGTCGGTATTTAATTGGGGTTGCCTTGAATCTATGAATTAGTATGAGAAGAACTGGCATTTTTACAATATTCAGTCTACTAAAAAGAAGAGTACTTAAGCCTTCTTTTATGTGCCTCAGTGGAAGATAATTACTTTTTCATATAGTCCCAAGCTCACCCTTTTCAGTTTATAGCTATATATTTCCTTTTTGAGAGGCTACTGTAAATGCATTATTTCTTGCATTGTAAGTGTGTGTGCATCTGTGTGTGTAAGTAGAAGAGATGTAGGTGTTTTCTCAGATGAACAATTAAAATTTAAAAGAAATAATCTAAAGCAAGTTAAAGTTTTTAATAGCATCTGACCTTCATTGAGCTGATACACATGAAAAAAATTACTTTGGATAATACTATGATGCAAAACAGAAAAAAAAATGAATGCAGTTTATTTCACTTTTGGGGGGCTACTATTCTCTTACAGAAGCCCAGCTGTGACCGTTGGCAGTTAAAATGTGATGGCTGTTCAGGCCTGCTGCCAGCAGTGGGGGCGCCATTTTCCTCCTCCTACCACACAAAGCTCTAGCTGGACTCTGGCTCTTGCCACAGGAAAGCAGCTCTGCTCAGCCCTGCTGCTTGAATCCTTGACCATGACCATCAGCTCTTCCACCTGTCCTCCCAAGGCGCTGGGGGAATAGGTTGACGGAAGCCCTACAAGGTCTCCACTGCCAGTCATACTCCCCACAGACAGACGGGTTTTCGCACAGCTGATGTAGCCATGAGTCAGAACACGCTTGGGTTTTATCTCTGCCTTTATCTCAGTCCTTTGAAACTTTTCAACTTGAAGAAAAACTGAAAACTATTTAACAAATCTAGACAAGGGGTCAGCAAGCTTTTACTGTCAACGGCCAGATAGGAGATGTTTCAGGCTTTGTGGGCCCTACGGTTTCTGTTAAAACAACTTACCTCTGCTGTTGTGTGTGAAAGCAGTCACAGACGATAAGGAAATGAGCCGGGCTATGTTCTAATAAAACTATTCACAAAACAAATGGTGGGCCAGATTAGGCCCACAGTTTACAAATCCCTGTTTTAGACCAGTAAATTTCCAAACCATTCATTATTTTTATTTAAAAAAAAAAATCAAAAGTCTCCATGGAACTCAGCATAACAGGTTACAAAGCACTGGAAGTTACAGAATGTAGAAAAATCACCAGAAGGATTTCTTCCCAATCTCTAAACAATGACTCTGAGCATAGCCAGTATTTGTCTGCCTTATGAAGCACAAGGGGGATCACAGTACACAACAAACACACATAGTGACACTGGTCACTGCTTTGAGGAGGAAGAGGAAGTATGAAAACTCCATTATTACTAGCGATGGGAGTATTCGCTCTTACTTACCAATCCTGTACCGCATTGAAGGAGTCTTCATTTGTGATGTCGTACATTAAAATAAAGCCCATGGCCCCACGGTAATAGGCTGTGGTGATAGTCCGGTATCTTTCCTGGCCTGCTGTGTCCTAAAAAATAACAATTTTTAATATTTTTATTATATAATTTTAATTAGATATATTTTTTATTATAAAAAAATAATCTCTCAAAAAATAAGGCAACATATATTTTGGGAAGTGATTATTTCAGAAACAGTCATAATAGAGAGTCTACATTGTACTTGCAATGTATCACTATATATCTTTTTAGTCTTGTTTTCCCTCGTGATTTTCATATGACAGCTCTGCAATATTATGAAAAATTCTTTTTTTGGTAAAGATCTAGCTCAAAATACCTTCTACATATGTTCATTCCTGTTAAGCAGCAGATAACTCTAGATAATAAAATAAAAAGATTATACATATGAAAATCTGTAGCTTTTTGTATAGTTTAAAACTAGAAGAGTTCATTAGCTCCAGCATTAGGTATTTATAATCTGTCTAAGTACAAGCCACTATGGGGGAAAAGAAGAGTTTTACGAACAGTTCCCTGCTTTTAAAAGCATGCAGTTCAATCTCACTTTCTTCAACTGTAAAATGAGAATAAAAATACCTGCTTTGTGTGGATATTTGAGTCAACAGACCTGGAGTTCCTGCTCTGCTATTACATAGCTGAGGAACGGGGACAAGCCACTAAACCTCTGTAACTAAACTTCTCGAAGGTTTAGCATGTTTGTTAGGACTATGTGAAACAGTGTATCTGAGGTGCTTCACACAGAGCCTGGCATACAAACGGTGGTCAATAAATGCTGAGTGCTGGCTGCTATTCCTAAAGGTTGGGGAGGCAAAGCTAGCGTACGGCGGGAGATAGCAGCTTACAAATACAGAGGCTCAGCACCTACCAAAGAGATGGCATGCAATAGTGAAATCTGGGGATATGGCAGACACATCGCTAAAGTCACCTGCATATGTTACGTAGCTCAAGAAATTATTCCTCGATTCAACTGTCTCTTGTCCCTTTGTCTTCTCAGGATCTGGGCTATGGCTTACAACACCATGATCCTTGGTTTTCCCTTTCACCACTTTCCCTGGAGATCGGGCTCTGATTTCTCTTTCTTAGTACTCTAGGTGCCGAGCACTTTGGACCGAAACATTATCTTCTTTCAGACTTTAGTCTGGATCCTCTTCTACTCTTCTCCCAGAGATGCCTCCTTTGCACATGGAGTACATCCCAGCTCCCCTTAAGATGTAATAGCCCTTGGAGGGGAAGCTAATGAGTTGGATGACACAAGAATAGGTTCCTTATCATCCAAATGAAACTAATATCTCCTGGGTCTCACTCTTGGGATGGGCTCATGTTGGATATGCCATTCCTCACCCACAGGTGTTCTCCAGCTTGGACGCTTACACTCCACCATAGACTAACCCATGACAAACTTGAGGTTGCTTACAATTTTCTCCTAATCTGTGTGGTATATTTTATTCAGCCCCCGGCAATTTCAGAGTAGGGTGACAAAAGAAGGCTGAGGAAATCAGTAAATGATTCCAGGAGAACAGGGGGGCATGAAGACAAAGTTGAGAATTAGCTGACTTTTCATGATACCAACAGTAGGACCAGGGATGAGATTGGTCTGACTAGAAGAAGATATTTATGTGGAGATATTAGGGATATAAGGTTCCAAAGATAGGATGGAAACAAGTTATGGTACCCAAAATAGCAAAAATAGAGCAAAATCTGTGGGAAAGATCTTTCAGAACATATCACCATTGGCAGAAAACAAAAAGGAAAATGCAGATTTTACTACATGAAAATTTGACAATTCCTTGAATATAAAAAAGGTATAAATAAAATTAAAATGGTACATAATCAAATAAAGTGGGAAATATATTTGCATTGTACCAGAGAGACCAAAGGTTACTATCTTTAATATGTCAAATGGTGCTAGAAATCATTAAGAAAAATGTTAAATAATCTAATTTTAAAATTATTTATATAGAAGCACAAAAATAGCTAATTAATCTGTAGAAAGAGTTGAATCCCAGGCATAATAATGCTGCAGAGTTACATGCCTACCTAATAGAAGTTTCCCAGACATTATTTGAATGTCTTATTGTACTTTAGTATTTTATATATATGAAAATGTAGATGTTTGAAATAACCATGAATATCATAAACTGCATATAACTGGGAAAAATAATCAAGTTTATTAAGCAGAAAGAAGCCAATCTTGAGCTTATGTGGATATTCTTAGATATTCATTGGATTTCATTCAATTAACAGCATATCCAATTGTGAAATAAAGAAGAAATTTAGAGAACCAAATTCCCAAAGACTATGTTTACAAAGCATGGGGTAACCAGAGATTGTGTAATATATTTCCGCTGTTTGGGGAACAAAACATCTTAAAACTAGTTATTTTATTTTAAAACATCTACTTTTGTCTTGGGTGCCTATTTTCCAGAATACATTATCTATAAAATTACCTTTTTATTTTTTCTTATTGTGAAGTAACTTTAAATGGCTATCTTGTCAACGATACTGTAATAGTGTCGTGTGGTGACAGAGGGTAGCTCCACTGGTAGTGAACACAGCATCATGCATGGACTTGTTCAATCACTATGTTGTACACCTGAAACTAACATTGTGTGTCACCTATATTCCAATAAAATTTTTTTAAAGTCGTAAAAATTAAAAAAGATAAAAATCTGAAAAAAGAAAAAAAGCTTTTTAGCATTGATTGAATAGTCTTCTCACAGGCTGGGGACCCCATTCCTGTTGCCTTCTCTATATAACAGACAGCTTTCCCCTGATTTTTCACTAGGAGAAAACAGCCAATACACCCGAGGCACTGCTAAAAGGTGACCCAGACCCTTCCCGTCAGGCATGTCTTCAACACAGACCCTGAATAATGGTGTGTTGGAAAAATGTGACATCTCTTTCTTCTTGACCTCTTCTGGTGATAGCTTTCCTTTTCACAAGATGTTAATTTTATTTTGACAGTAAAGAAACTAGTTCTAGGATTATAAAACATTCATTTCAGTCTGTGAGTGTATTTAATCTTTGCGAGAGCAGAAATCAAGGCCCCATTATATTATGATTGATATATTATAGGAAACCACATGGTTGGACAGCCATTATCAAAATTTAAAAGTAGACAGAGGGGGACAAAAACCAGTTTTCAAGAAAAAAAAATAGAAGCTTTCAGGAAGCTCTTAAGCCACAGCAAGGACTAACCCTAACCCTAACCCTAACCTTCCACACCGTTCTGATATGAACCCAGAAACACAATCTAATTGGAGGTAGCTCTCACCTAAAACCTCTCAGGGAAAATAAGAAATTGTACCAAATAGGGGTAGTGTATTAGGAAAAACAGAGTAGTTTTCCTTCCCAAATAGAAAGACAATAAAAAAGAGTAAAATTAAGCTAATAAACCAGGCACCAAGTTGGCTCTTCATTGGTTTTGAGTACTGAAAACAATTTCAGAATTATAAACTCATTAGCATGTTCTCTCCCATGGTATCAGGAAGAAAAAGAAGTCATAAAAACACTACATTTCATTTGACATTTACTAATGATGATAGAAGGTTCTATCTGAAAGAAAGGAACATTTTATAATGTCAAGTGCCACTAATGTAATTAAATGTGAGCAGTCTCAGAGGGTAACTGGCTAAAATGGTACCTCTTCTCAATTTGCTCAGAAAAATGGCTCCAAACCTTGGTTTTGCACTGTTCCTCTGCTCAGTTAATTCTGATAACTGGGGATACCTGCTGATTTTCTATAAATGTAGGTTTCTTATAATTGAAAAACACAACTGGAAATCTCTTACAGAGAAAATGAGGGATAAAAGTATGATTAAAAATGAAAACTTTCTTCCATGAAAGTTAGCTGTCATTTCCTTCTCTTTTAAGAAAAATAAAATCATTTTAGTTGGTTTAAATATTTTGATTTCTCATTCGTGGTTTTTTTTTGTTTTTTGTTTTTGTTTTGGTTTGTTTGTTTGTTTGTTTGAGAGAGTGCCCACGTGAGTGGTGGCACTGGGGGAAGAAGAGAGGCAGAGGGAGAGGGAGAAGGACTCCTAAAGCAGACTCCTGGCTGAGTGTGGAGACCAATGTGGGGCTCAGTCTTACAACCCTGAGATCATGACCTGAGCTGAAATCAAGAGTGGGGCGCTTAACCAACTGAGCCACCCAGGTGCTCCATTTCTATTCATGTTTTTAAGAGGAATTTTTGGCTTTAATGATAGGTTTGATTAGCAAATAGCTGAGTATATGTCAAGAAAAGAACTGTAAAACGTAAGACATTAGCATCTTGATTAAGTAGTAGCAAGGAACGTTTTCAGTTTGAATTTTGGCATTTTTGTCTTTGTTTTTGACTTAATTTTTTTCCAATGAAATATTCTATATTTTTTAACTGTATATATGGCATTCCCAAACTCTTCTGAAATTATGCAGAGATAACGTGCAGTTTCAGGATAGAGGAAATAGCCTTGTTATGTGAGGTCTGAGTTACACTGTAATTTGATTTTTGTTTTGGTGGTGACTTCTCTCTGTATTGGATTAAAGGGAAAATGAAAGTAAACATTAGGAAAGGAATACAACTCAAATAATATCACCACAATCAAAATACATTTATTGAACGTCTAGACAGAGAAAAATAGATTGAAGGACAGATAATCCTAGTACATGATAAAGTAGGTAATTTTATATGTGAAGAAACTAAACCAAACACGTTGATGTTAACTCATCAACACAAGTAATTTAATTAAACTAAGGGAAATAATATGTGATAACCCAAAAAGATTGTCAACAGAAATGCAAGATGAGGATCCTGCAACATAAGACATAAAACACACGTTACTGAATTTCCAAATAGAGCAAAGATATGAAATGGAATAAATGCTCAGTCATTAAGCATCCACACAAGTAGTAATCTTTTATACTTTGCTTCCGGTTACTTGTAGGAATTATTTTGAATCATCAAATGAAGATTAAACTATGCTTAATATAGTTTAATATGACTGCTGATTGATTGATTGATTCATTCATTCATTCATTTGTTCATTCATTCAATAAACATTTGGTGAATACC